TTTCTGATTTTGAAGTTCTTAGACTTGATTCCTTCACTTGTAAGAATCTCATTTTCATGCACAGCAACTTCAAAGTGGAAGAAATATGAATTCAGTAATTTCAAATGTCTCCCACCTCAAAGGCACCAAAGATAATTTTAGAATCTTAGAAGACTATAGCAAACCATATTTCTTGTTTATATATTATGTATTATAGAACATACTTTTAAAATATCTCCATTTCATTCTTTGGTAGAGGAAAAACAAATACCTGTTTGGGTGAAATTGTGCTGCCCCCGGACCCCCAAAAATTCATAGATTAAAGCTCCTATCCTCAATGTGATGAGATGGGGAGGACCAATGAAGAGATTAAAGATTAAGTGAGGTCACAGGGTAGGACTCTAATCTAACAGAATTTACTAATTTTGAGAAGAGGAAGAGACATCAGAGCTTGATGACTCTTGTGAACATACTGAGGAAAGGCCATGTGAGGACACAGCAGGAAGGCAGCTATGTAGAAGCCAGGAAGAAAACCAAACCAGAGACCACATTTACAGGCACCTTATTTCGTGGCCTTGTAGCCTCCAGAACCGTGAGAAATTAAGTGTTTGTTTATAAAACTACCCAGATGGTGATATAGCAGCCTGTGCTAGCTATCACAACCTATAAAGATGAGGAGCTTACATTTTTAGGAAGTTTTACTCTACTAATAACCAAGCTGAACCAGGAACTGATAGTAACACAGATGATCCATTCATAAAAGGAGTCTGGAACAATGTGAAGAAAAACTCAACGCATACACACCCCTCATTAACGTTTATATACATGTGTTATTTAAATTAATTAAACTGTCATTTTAGAAAGATTATAAGATTTTGAATAATTGCTCTGAATGGGTAAGAACTGTACTACAACTGTACTGGCTATATTCTTTATCACTGAGAGAAAGGGTGGATCCCGTTAAAGAATGTGAGCCACTCTGTGATTTAATAATTCACTTCTGCCAGTGAGAATTTAGATGTCCCAAGGACAGATAGATATATGTTCTCTTATCTTTAATATAAATGAGGTCAACATCAAGTTCAAAACATTCTCAAAACTTGGATAATATTGAGACAAGATACAAAAATAGGAGGTGGTGCTGCTAAAATTTTCTTCACCATGTAGAACAAATATTATTTGGTTTCAAAAGGAATCAGCTTTTCTGTGTTAAGATTTTTTGTTACTGTTCTCTAGTGAAGGCTTAATTAATTTAGACTCCTTAAAGAACTTCTCTATTGACATTGCCTCCTTATACTCTCAGAATCAGGTATAACATTCTTGAACTTTTATCACATTCATTTCCTTTCTTTTTTAAAATGACACATAAAAATTGTACATATTCATGGGATACATGTGAGTTCCAAAACATGCATACATTATGTGATCTTCAAGTCAGAGACAGCATCTCTAACTCCTCAAACATTTAAAGTTTCTTTGTGGTAAAAAAAAAAAAAAAAAAAAAAAAAAAATTTAAACTACCATTTCCTGAGGCCATTTATGTGCCAAGCACTATATCCGAAATTTGACACAACTGCCTCATCTTAATTCTCACATTCTACAAGGTGAAGATTGTGATCCCCATATGAAAACAGAGAAAGTTTCAGAAGGACCAAATAATCAACCGAATTCTTCCAATTAAAAAGTGCTGGGGTTGGGGTTGTGGCTCAGCGGTAAAATGCTTGCCTAGCACGTGTGAAGCCCTGGGTTCGATCCTCAGCACCACATAAAAATAAAAGGTATTGTGCCCAACTGCAACTAAGAAATAAATATTTTTTAAAAAAGTGCCAAAATTTCTCTGAATCCAAAATGCATGTTTTACTATACTGTCTTACCTTCTAACCTATATGTATATATACATTTAAAAAACAACAAAAAAAGACACTTTTCTGACCATGTTCCTCTCCCTCAATCTTAAGGAACTTTAAACTATCAATTATTAATAACCTTCTGGATTCTACACAAATGTAATCTACACAAGTCTGGTAATAGTGTCTTTTAATACCTTTAGGATTAATCAAATAAATATCAACCGAGGAATTCCATATGTCTAGCAATTTTCTATTAAGACTTGGGAGATAATAATGCAAAGCCACTGTATAGTGAATATGACCTTAGGTAGAGTATGTTAGAAAACTCCCAGGATACAATTAAGCTCCCTACAATGTCTGCATTCTTTATCTCTAAAATGATTCTTGAAATTGAACTTAAGTAGACAAAGGCATGTGGCCACCGTTATATTGGGTAAAATTATATTACTAATGAAAAAAGTAAAATATTCATTTCTTCATTGCCTTTTTATATCAAATTAGATAGTATCTGTCAAAATTCTGTAACCTATTATAATTCATTGCCTATGCATAATAACTATCATATTTCCCCTTCTCTAATTCTGTATCCAAACTGCCATGGGTCTAGTATGCATTAGTTCTCATTTTATTTTGAAAATTACTCATTAAACAATAATGTAAAGCCTAAAACATATACTAGAATTTATTACTAAATAATGAAAAAAGTTSTAACATTCCCAAAACATTAAGACACTCAAACTGTATCAACTCATCTTCTTGTCATCAATGGTAACCCACATAACAATAACAAGAATACTCAGGTAATTCTAGATTTAAACAAATGTATTTACTCAAGAACTTCTTACAATCTTTAACATATATCAAGTGCACTCTGTCTCTCTAAAAAGGTAGTAGATGCTATTTTCAGTTATTATAGTTAAAACAAGTATTGACCCTCCCTATTTGCCTTTCCCTACCTCTCCCTTCCTACAAGATCACTGACACCCTAAAACACAGGCTTGGACAAGTGACCTGCTTTGGACAATGAAATATGAGAAGTAGTGACATGTGTCATTTCCAAGCAGCTGTTTTAAGAGCCATAGCTCCACTGTCACTTTTATTTCTTCTACCACAAGACCTATGCATCACCAAAACATTGCTCCTTCAGCTTTGCTCCAGGAATGAAGAAGACGCAGAACATASAAGCAGTAGACTCATGAGAGATATGAACAAAAATAAGAAACTTTTACTACTATATATCACACTAAGATTTATTTAAAATTAATAATAAATTTAACTTTGCTTAAGCAAAAGTAGATCTGTTTCCCAGATCTACTGAACCCTGGCATTTTTTTGCCAAGTAACACCTTCTAGTTTCTACATTACTCGTTTTGGTATGACATCTTTTTCTTAATTAACACAGTATCTAAGTTATGAGTGCAAGTATATACATACTAGAAGTAGTCTTCACCATCTTCAATTAAACTTTCTTCTTAAATTCTATCAACAATTTGAATTTCTGTCAATTAATTTCTCCCCTTAAGTCAATAACACTGTTTCATTGTGATAATCAGATTTACGTTCAGAAATCACTGATGAAACAGCTTGATAGTCAAGATCATCATACTACTAACTTAGTTTTCTGGAGAGGTCAGATTATGTATTCTGCCTTACTTTTTATATGTGTATTCATATTTAACAAATACAGAATACTGTTGACAATTTCAATTTTCCTTAAACCTCCCTATACATAATTTTCTTTTGGATTAGCAACTGAGAACATATGATATTTCAGTATCAATTTTTGGATATTCCGTGTCAATTCTGCTGATTTCATAATTAATTATATTCTGACTGGCATTCTTAAATTCAGAATATTTTTTCTAGCAAGTATTCCTAAAGGATAGCACATTAAAGAGGAAAAATAGTAACACCAGTTTTCTTATTGGCATTGAGATTTTCTTGGTGTTTCAATACTTACCAAAACACACACACACACCCCAAAAAAGAAAAAGAGAGAGAAAAGAGAGAGATTCTGTTGGTGTTTTCCTATATTAAATACATGTTTAACCTAACTTGCATACATTTTTACTGTGTGTCCAATCCTAAACAATGATATTCAGAAAAAAAATGACTCAGAGGCCTTCTATTTATGCTCATGGCATAAAAGCAACATTCAGTCATATACTGAAGGAAAGTAGATGTAAATATTAAATTTAATAAGCTAATAAAAATGAAAAATAATAAAAATCCTTAAAACAGAAAATATTCCAGATTAATTTTCAATTGTAAAGTTAAAAAGTAAAGATTCTTTCCTGAAAACTGCAACTGAACAATATTTACTACATTTGTTCATTTTAATTTACACGAAGCTCTTTAGTCTTATAAATCATCAGTTCATAATACAGTACACATGTATGAGTAAAGCAATYGAACATTTGATTCCTAGACTGGGAAAAATCTGTATAATTAACCATTACTAAAACTAAAATATTCATATCATATTTTAAAACAGACAAAAATTTTTTCCTAGAGCAACAGCTTTAAAAGTAACTTATAAATAAAAGGATGAGTTTTAGAGTTTGATATAACTTGTCACATATATATAAAATATATATATATATAAATTTGAACTTTATTAGTTTTCATATTTTAAGATGTTTCGTGATGCAATTATATGCATCTTTATTATTTTTAATAGATAAGAAAAATTCCCAACTCTTTTGATACTGATTCACTTTTTGATTAAAACAACGATGATACAAGGYACTATTTTTTAAGAAACTGACAAATTACATATATATATATATAAATATATATAAATAAAATTATATATGTATACTTATATATATCTATCATATATATGATTTTAGTTGTGTATCTCAGGACTTTTAATTAACTTCCACTAATAACACATTGTTGTAAAGAAATAAATGAAGAGATTCTGAATTTTTTTTAGTTTCATAATTTGAAAAGATCGAACTTACTTGATGATGAAGATTAAAATGTCACTGTAAAAATAATAATAAAAATGACGAGAAAAAATACACAACTGTCACACTTCTTGATTAGTACGGAAAGTGAATCCATCAGATGGGGTAAGGCTGAAACCAGCTCTAATAGCACATAGTTCTTGACCACCTCACTGTTTCCAGGCAAGCAAGTAAGATGCACCTTCAGTGCAGCTCTTACCAGTCAAGTCAGGACTTTCCATTGTGATTACAATGGAACATCAGAACTTCCAGCGTCTGTGATGTAGCAGGATTCTGTGAAAGAGCCAAAGGAAAGTGGTTACAACAGGAGTCAAGAAGGCCTTGAAAACAAACTGACACTAATTTTCCTTCAGCAAAATAGTCTCCTAATAAAATGAATTAACAATCAAAACCAGGCAAAAACATCCCTATGCCAACACGATTTAAAGGAGTTCCCCAGTGTTCACCATCAATTTTAATTTTAAAAAAAGACAACTCGCTAAAATTACTTAATACAAATTCTGAGTGTGAGGTTACATAAACTAAGAATTACAGGCAATGGCTTCTTCAGCTTTGGTCTAAAATCAAGTGTATAATTACAAGAAAACTCCCTGAAAAAATATACRATTAAGTGACAGCCTGACTAAATTCGAGTTATTTTAAATGACTGGCCCAACTCAACTAGATAGTTTAATTAATCTTTTTTTAAAATTTTTTTTAATTGTTGATGGACCTTTGTTTTATTTATTTATATGTGGTGCTGAAAATCGAACCCAGTGCCTCACACATGCCAGGCAAGTGCACTACAGCTGAGTCCCAGTCCCAAAATATTATAATTAATCTTTTAAGCATTTGAAAAAAAATGAATGAAGCAAGACAATAAAAGCAAACAAACAAAAAAAAAGCAGCTAGGGTGAGTGCGGACACAGATTAAAAACTGTACCAAACCAATTATTTTCTAAGTATAAAGAACTAAGAAAATATAGAAAAGATGATCAAAATCAGCAAAAAGAATGTATATACCAATTAAATGGAACATTTTACATTAGTAAAATTGTAAATAAAGATTATATATTTTATCATTTCAGTTTCTTTGTGAGATACACTAAGTTTATAGTTTGCTTGTCCACCTTTAACCAAAAAGGATATTTTCTTTCCCTAAGCAGATTATGACACTACATTTCTTCTGTAAGCTATACACTATAGAAATTGGATATAATTTTCTGGTTTACACTAACAATACTATGAGTCATTTATGGCTTAGCTAAAGTTTTTTATTTTAATCAGTCACTATAATATGAAAGAAATGGCTTTTCACATGTGTAATAATTCAAGAGTAATTTTATCTAGAATTAAGATGATTCAGTTGTCACCAATGCAATTAACAAAAGCAACAGGAAAAAATAGAACATTAAATGGTCTCATGTCACTTCACACAAGATACTACTCATTCATTCCCATATTTTGAAAACAATTTTATGGATAAAAAAAAATAAACCCAAATCTTTGAAGCTAAACTCAAAGATTAACATGAATATTTGTAAATTAAATGCCTGTTTTTAAAACTTTTCTGAAAACACAAAATTTTTTAAAAAACTGATGAAATTAATGGTATGAAAGTCTATAATTACCATAAAATATACAACTAGTGTTATTTTAAAAATAACTTAAAGAAAAACCTCACAAACTAATTTCCTAGTCATATTCTTTTTTCCTTCATACAAATTCATAAAAGCAATATACACAACCGTTAAATAAATGAGTAAAAACCATTAAGTAAATAACTATACATGTCAAATAAAGAAATTCTTATAAACTAAAGTATTAATATAATCTGTATAGCCAAAATTGGGAGGAAAAAGGTTCATCGCTTTTGGGGGAAGGGGAGTGGTTTGCTAGTAATTGAACCCAAGAATTCTGCCACTGAGCTACATCTCTAGCTCTTTTATTATTGTTTTTAATTTTTAATTTTTGAGACCGAGTCTCACTAAGCTACTCAGGCTGGCCTCCAACTTGTGATACTCCATCAGCCTCTTGAGTGGCCGGGTTTAAAGGTGTGAGCCACTATGCCCAGCTCCAGAAATAATTTTAACAGTGTAGGTTTAATTCTTCTTTGGGTTTAAATATTTGTTTACATTTTCGTGTAACATGTGAATATATGATATGCTATATGAGAAATAAAATGCTAATTCTTCTTCCATAAGAAATTATTTTAGGAGCTCAAAGATAAACTTCAGGTGCCCTGATAAATTTATTTCTATAATGGGAAATTTTATTTTGATCACTGTTCTGTAATTTATTATGTATGATACTATATTATTATATATGATACTATATTATTATGTATAATATCTATGGGTAAAGCAGAAGAGGACGAAAGAGGAAGCTGACTATTCTGTGGCTAATATGGGTTGTTAAACTCTCAAGGAAATAAAAATCATCATGGTAAACCTAAAAGCCAGTGAATAAGCCACAGAGGAGAGGTCAATTTCCAGGCTGAATGTCCTACCTGAGTCAGCCTATTACAAAATGCCCACAAGAAAAGCAATTATAGTGTGGCCTGTTCTGCATTTAAATTACAAGTATTTCATTTTTGATTTGACAGAATTGGGTTGTTTTGTGAGATGTCAGAAGGTCAGATGAGCAAATGCCCAAAGCATGAATACAATGGTGACTTGAATAAGCCCTTTGATCAAAACCTGGGTGAATTTGTCCAAGCCACCTGGTGCCTGTCTATGTTCTCCAGGTCCCATGTTGGCATCTTCTCAATTGTCACTCCCCCACAGAGAGCCTTCAAACTCTGACTCCTCCTGATTAGGACCCACTATCACTCACTAAAAACCTCCCCTTCCCTTTTGAAGGTCTCTTATTTCCACCCATGATAGTCCTGGCCAGCCCTGACCACGCTCAAGATTCCCTCCTAGAAACTTCATCATGGCAGGTGAACAGTCTTCTATTAAATACCTATTATTTGCCTCTTAATACAAATAAGGCGTCTAACTTGGCATCTGAAAGACCAATCTTAAAGATGTGGTCTAAGCAACCACTGAAATATCCCAAAGCAACTGGCTTTCTGGCACAGCTCACATACTGCCCCCTTGGGACACAGTGTTTTGAATAACTTATTATACTAAAAAAGGTGAGGTGCCACTTCTTACAATGAGGCAGACTTCCAATTAGTGTTAATGTCCAATGTAGCATTCAAAGGCACATCACGGCAAAATTCCCTTCTATGCCAAAATTGTATGTTTTATACCCTGATGTCACTACTACCTAGTCAGCACAGAAGGGACTACAAGGTGACCATGTGCCTGCTTACATGGAAGCATATTTAATCCCCATGAATGACTGCTTTTCTGATGTTTTCATCAATTCTCTGGGTAACAGACTAAGCTTTAACTAACTCATTTTCATACATACCCCTAATTCAATCAAGCTAAATGAAAGTCATTCTGGACTGCAATTATTTGCTAAGGAACAATTACATTCAAATGAAAAAAAGAAATCAGCGGGCATGACATAATCCATGGTACAGATGCCTTTCCATTTATGGCACAAGAACAGCAAGAAGGGGGGAAAAAAAAAGCCAAAGTGCTAGAAAAGTAAATAAATTTTTCTTCATCCTCCTGAAAACAGAATACTTTTGCTTTTACACCTGAAAAAATCAAAATGGAGAACCAGAGAAAGCACATTTTTAGATTACTAATTTCAATTATGTTTATTATTTGAAAGGAGCTGCATTTCTAAGCTGAGTCAGTAGGATCTCAGAAACAAATCCAGGTCACAATCTAAGAGTTCTAGTAACTGCATATGAACTAAATTATCCACAGGCTCACTCCATACAATAGGTTTGCCAATCTCCACTTTACAATGGGGTTTTCTTACATTTTTTTCTGTTTTAAAGCTTATTATTGTTATTCTTATGTTATATTGTGAATTTTTATGTTTTCCTCAACTCCTTTATGTATCTACTACATGTTTATAAATGAACTTAACTAAAAACTCCAAGTTCTGACTGTCAGATGATGTAATACCATCATGTTTGCAAGTTAAAAACTTCTTGTTAATTTAACAAAAGCTTTCCCTGCCCTGTGTGTGCATAAGGTTTTCCCATCCACTACTCTATGCAATCTTAATTTTCTCAATAGTGTCATCAGATACATTGTACAATACTATGGTACTGAAAAATGGTGTTGTCATCTTAGCTGTTTTACAGTTTTAGTCAAAGAATGCCATGCCTCAGGTGACTGTGGTCCAACACTGGCTAGAACTAAAAATTACAAACAACCTTACTTGCAACTAAATCATTTGCTGAAATAAAATGTCATCATAGAAATAAAGATAACTCCCAGGGACAAGTGTGTGTGTGTGTGTGTGTGTGTGTGTGTGTGTGTGTGCGCGCGCGCGCGCAAAGGAGAGATACAACATAATGTAAGAATAAATAAAAAGTAATCCACCTGTCTTTTATGGTTGAAGCCTAAGCCACAACTATTTCTGGCCAAGAACCAATATTTAACTGAAATTTCAAATGTTAGCTATACTGAGAAGGTAAATCTTTTAAAGGACAATGCAAATCTGAATTACCTCCTTGACATCTTTCCACCCCCACCTTCATTTCCTCATGACCCAAAGCTTTTCAGTTAAGAAATATTAAAGATAATAATAAAGATAAGCAGTCTTAGGAATTCCCACCATATCCAGCAAAATAGCTACTAAGTATTTACAAATTTGTCCATTTGTTAGGTAGCAAAGACAGAAAACTCTAGCATTCATTGATAACATGGGTCTCCTAAAATAGCAAGAAGATTTAATAACCTACTTCCCTCTAGTACTCAATATTGTATCAATTATAAAATTATATTTTTAAAACTACATACCACCTACTGTAGACCAACCAATGTGAATGATTCAACCTTTCACTATTTGAGAAAGTAAGGACCTATTATGTGATAGCATAACACTGCAAAAGGTATCATTAACAGCACAGCTGCTTTCTTGAGCTGATGTTCCAGTTCAGTAATCACATACAACACACGTACAGAATAAATATTAAAATAGTAAGCAAAAAATTTTTTTTAGTTAGAATGCATAAGGATAATGTTACACCAATAAATTAAGCCGGAACATGAAGCATGATGACCTCAGTATACACAGAGTTAGAAGCACTGGCCCAGGATAGGCAAAACTTCAACACTGGAAGACAGACTTGCTGAGACCTAAGAGGCAGTTCTGGCTATAGC